CTTAACACGATACTGGACATGGGCAAGTTGGAGTCCGGGAAGATACAGCTAGAAGAGGTAGAGTTCAGGATGGCAGATGTCCTCGAGGAATCCATGGACCTGGCGAATGTCGTTGGGATGTCAAGAGGTGTCGAGTTGATCTAGGACCCTTGCGACTTCTCCGTGCTCCGGTGCACCGCCGCTGTCGGTGACTGTAAGCGTGTCAAGCAGATCCTTGACAACCTTCTCGGCAACGCCATCAAGTTCATGCATGAAGGCCATGTCATGCTCCGTGCATGGGCCAACCGCCCCGTCATAAGGGGCTCCATGATCAGCACCCCGTCGAAGTTCGCCCCCCGCCGTCGCGCCGGTGGGGTCCTCGGTTGGCTGCTTGGAATAAGTGAGAATTGTGCCGAACAGAATGGCGGCTTGTCCTTGAAAATTGATCCCGATTCGGTTGAGTTTTATTTTGAGGTTGTTGACACTGGTGTGGGGATACCCGAAGAGAAGAGGGAGTCTGTGTTTGAGAACTACGTTCAAGTGAAGAATGGGCATGGTGGCACAGGGCTAGGACTTGGAATTGTGCAATCATTTGTAAGTGATCTCATCTTTTTCTGTGCATATTAAAATGCTCTCAAGCGCGTCAATGTATTTCTTTTTTACGCTTTTGAATTGCCACTTCCTAAACTTTTTTCTAAATTTACAAACTCCAAAGTCTAAAAGTATATCAATTGGAGGTTATATATAAATTAAGAGTGACTTGAGATGAAGATGGCTATATGTTAATCCAGATGCGTAGAATTTTGATTGGATTTAAGACAAATTCATGCAACTTTGCTTGTTGCACTTGACACTCTAAAAAAAGTTCGTGACTCTTTATCTTTGAAAACTATATTGTTCACTCATGTGTCTGTTATTTCTTATTTACTTATGATTTTCTTTGTTGTTTTTATTGGTATATATAGGTTCGTCTGATGGGAGGGGAGATAAGCATCAGGGACAAGGAGCCAGGAGAAGCGGGAACGTGCTTTGGATTCAACGTGTTCCTGAAGGCCAGCAAGAGTCCAGAGGTTGAAGACAACCTCGAGGAAGGGAGGGCAGCGCCTTCTCTGTTCAGGGAGCCCGCCTGCTTCAAGGGCGGACACTGCGTCCTCCTCGTCCACGGCGAAGAGACCCGCCAGATCCTGCATGCATGGATGGAGAGCGTCGGGATGAAGATCTGGCCCGTCTCGTGCGCCGAGCTCCTCGCCCCGGCCATCGACAAGGTGTGCTCTGCCTTCAGCGGCTCGCCGTCAAGGCCGACGTCGATGTCATCGCTGCACAGCGCTGGAGGCAACGACTTGGACGACACCATAGAACGCTGCCTCGTCTCAAAGGAGATGGCCAGCCACCTGCAGAGCAGCAGGGGCATGGGCGGCAACCACGGCGGGCACCTCCACGCCTTCAGCCTGCTCATCGTCGTCGACGTCTCCGCTGGGAGGCTCCACGAGGCCGCCCGCGAGGCGGCGAGCTTGGCGAGGACCAAGCTCCAGGCGTCGTGCAAGGTCGTCTGCCTGACAGACCTCAAGACCCCCTCCGAGGATTTGAGGAGGTTCAAGGAGGCGAGCAGCTTCGACCTCGAGCTGCGCAAGCCCATCCACGGCTCCCGACTGCACAAGCTCCTCCAGGTCATGAGAGACCTCCAGGCATCCCCTTTCGAGCACCTACATCCATATCAGTTCGAGATGTCGGCGGCAGATCAGACCACTGCGTCAGCGTCCGAAATCACGCTCGCAGTGCCCGTGGGACCAGCCAATGTTGGAGACTGCAAGCCACTGGAGGGGATGCGCGTGTTGCTGGTGGACGACACCATGCTTCTGCAAAGAATCCACGGGCAGATGTTGAGCGATCTCGGAGCAGCCGTGGAGATTGCAGGCGATGGCTCCGTGGCTCTTGCCATGTTCACAGAAGTTCTTCGGAACGCCTTGCCCTATGACGTGGTCCTCATGGATTGCCAGGTACACAAATTTCTCCAGCAACACCATGCCAAGCATCGGTCCATTTCTCCTCAATTTGTTTCAGATGATGCGATTTAATAATTTCTGACATTGCTGGCAATTGTATGTTCTTCGTTTAAGATGCCGGTGATGAATGGCTATGAGGCGACGAGGCGCATCCGCGAGGAAGAAATCCGCCACGGCGTCTGCACCCCGATCATCGCACTGACTGTGAATTCCGCAGAGGAAGGGCTGCAGGAGGCCGTCGAAGCTGGAATGGATCTTCACCTGACAAAGCCGATACCAAAGCCGAAGATCGCAGGGGTTGTTCTTGAGCTCTGCAAACAAGACAAGAACTGACGATGTTCTGTTCTCGCGAGGATATTTAATTATTTATCACCCATGCATATGGGAATAGTGTTAGTAATCAAGATCCTGCTCCTGCTATTTTTAACTACTGCTGTAGGTAGTATGGTCAATAGACAGACAACTCAGCAGCCGAGCAGAAGGTTAAGCAATAACAGCATGCCAAAATTACATTGTAATTCTGTGACATTGTGTGAAATGGTTTATGTTATGCAACTTTGTGATTGCTTTTTCTGTTTAAACAAACGAGTGGTCACAGAATTACAAATATAAATCATTCAAAGCAGAAATTCCGTATTGGATCCCGAAATACAAATTAAATGAGCTCCCATCACATAGTCGGACTGACAAGAATGGTGACCGCCACACACATAGAAGTTATAAATCCTATTCCAAGTCTGAAGAGACCCCTATAGTGCGATCCATGTTGGTTTTTTATGTTTCCTTTTCTTTCTTTCTTCCTTTCTTTTGTTTGGTTTTCTTATTTTCTTAATTCGTATGTCTCTCTCCTTTCTTTCAAATTTTCAAAATCATCGTTGATGTTCACTTTAGAAAAAACATACTTATTTTTCTCTTATTTCTAGAGCAAATAGAAGAACCATTTGTAAGTATATGAACTTATATCTTGTTGCATAAACAACTTCTTAAAATACTTGAACTCTTGTTTGGAGGTAAAACATGAACATTTTTTCTAAAATCTATGAAATTTTTCTAAATAAAAATACATAAACTTTTTAATACATAAATAAATATGTATGTATGTATTACTGAAAAAACAAGATGAAGATTATTTTTAATGCATACACGCATTTCTATTTTGTATGTCAGACATTTTTTATTTTTCTTACCTTTTACTATTATTTTAATCATTTATTGTATAGCGACGAAGAAAGCCGCTATGGCGTCCACACCCCGATCATCGCGCTGACCGCGAATTCCACGGACGAGGGTCTGCATGAGGCCATCGAAGCTGGGATGGTTCTTCACTTGACAAAGCCGATACCCAAGCCGAAGATCGCAGGGGTTGTTCTTGAGCTATGCAAACAAGACAAGAACTAATGATGTTCCTGTTGGGAAATGTACCATGCAATTTCAATAAAATTCCTATGCACACGCAAGATTTATCCATGGAGATGCATAGCTACGAGAGGGGGAGAGCATCCTCATACCCTTGAAGATTGCAAAGCAGAAGCGTTTATCTATGCGGTTGATGTAGTCGTACACCTTCATGATCCGTCCTGATCAAGTACCGAACGTATGACACCTCCTCGTTCAGCACACGTTCATATCGATGATGTCCACGCCTTCTTGATCCAGCAAGACATGAGAAGTAGTAGATGAGTTCCGACTGCACGACGGCATGGTGACGGTGTTGGTGAAGAACAATCTCCGCAGGGCTTCGCCAAGCACTACGGAAACTATGACAGATGATAAACTAGAGGGGGTAGCGTTGCCGGCACACGGCTTGGTGATACTTGATGTGTTCCAGGTGCTAGCCCTGCCCCTCTATTTATATGTTGAGCCCTGGGGTCGAAACTTGGAGTAAAAGCCTCCTCAAAGTCGGTTTTACCCGCAAGGAAGAGTCCTTCCCGGTCTTTCAGGACCAGATGCCACGGTCCTTGGCGCCTGGCCCAGACGCCATGGGCCTTGGCGTCTGGCCCAGGGTCTCCGGCGTTTGCCCCCCTGGCCTCCGCAAAACTCCTTTTGCACCAACCTAAAGCCCCGTGGGCTTCACCCCTTGGACGAACCATATCATCCTATATATAAATCTTTACCTCCGGACCATTCCGAAGCTCCTCGTCATGTCCGTGATCTCATCCGGGACTCCGTACAATTTTCGGTCACCAACATACATAACTCATATAGTACTATATCGTCAACGAACATTAAGTGTGCGGACCCTACGGGTTCGAGAACTATGTAGACATGACCGAGACACCTCTCTGGTCAATAAGCAATAGCGGAACCTGGATGCCCATATTGGCTCCTACATATTCTACGAAGATCTTTATCGCTCGAACCTTATGACAACATACGTAACTCCCTTTGTCTATCAGTATGTTACTTGCCCGAGATTCGATCGTCGGTATCTTCATACCTAGTACAATCTCGTTGCTGGCAAGTCTCTTTACTCGCTCTATAATACATCATCCCGCAACTAACTCATTAGTTACTTGCAAGGCTTCTTATGTTGTGCATTACCGAGAGGGCCCAGAGATACCTCTCCGATACTCGAAGTGACAAATCCTAATCTCGATTCACGCCAACCCAACAATACACCTTCGGAGATACCTGTAGAGCATATTTATAATAACCCAATTACGTTGTGACATTTGATAGCACACAAGGCATCCTCCAGTATCCAGGAGTTGCATGATCTCATAGTCAAAGGAATATGTATTTGACATACATGAAAGCAATAGCAATATAACTGAATGATCAACATGCTAAGCTAACGGATGTGTCTTGTCCACCACATCATTCTCCTAATGATGTGATCCTGTTATCAAATGACAACTCATGTCCATGGTTAGGAAACCTTAACCATTTTTGATCAATGAGCTAGTCAAGTAGAGGCTCACTAGGGACTCAGTGTTTTGTCTATGTATTCACACGTGTATTAAGGTTTTTGGTCAACACAATTCTAGCATGAATACTAAACATTTATCATGAATAAGGAAATATAAAATAACAACTTTATTATTGCCTCTAGGGAATATTACCTTCAGTCTCCCACTTGCACTAGAATCAATAATCTAGTTCACATCGCCATGTGATTAACACCAATAGTTCACATCGCCATGTGAATAACACCCACAGTTCACATCGCCATGTGACTAACACCCAAAGGGTTTACTAGAGTCAATAATCTATAATCCAGTTCACATCACCATGTGATTAACACTTCAAAGAGTACTAAGGTGTGATCATGTTTTGCTTGTTTGAGAGGTTTAGTCAATGGGTGTGCCACATTCAGATCCATATGTATTTTGCAAATTTCTATGTCTACAATGCTCCATACGGAGCTACTCTAGCTAATTGCTCCCACTTTCAATATGTATCCAGATTGAGACTCAGAGTCGTCCAGATCAGTGTCAAAGCTTGCATCGACTTAACCCTTTATGATGAACTCTTTGTCACCTCCATAACCGAGAAACATATCCTTATTCCACTAAGGATAATTTTGACCGCTGTCCAGTGATCCATTTCTGGATCACTATTGTACCCCCTTGCCAGACACGTGGCAAGGCAGACATTTGGTCTGGTACACAGCTTGTCATGTGATGTCACTTGAAGCTATGTCGGTATTTCCCCAAAGAGGAAGCGATGATGCAGCACAGCGGGGGTAGGTATTTCCCTCAGATATGAAACTAAGATTATCGAACTAGTAGGAGAACCAAGCAACACAACATAAACAGCCCCTGCACACAAATAACAACCACTCGCAACCCGGCATGTTAAAGGGGTTGTCAATCCCTTTCGGATAACGGCGCTAGAAATGGTGCACGGATGGGAGAAAGTTGTAATAGATTGAATAAATAGATCGCAAATAAAATAAAGTGTAGCAAAGTATTTTTGGGTTTTTGGATTAGTAGATCTGAAAATAAATGCAAGAGAAAAGTAGATCGCAAAGGTAAATATATGAGAAATAAGACCCGAGGGCCATAGGTTTCACTAGTGGCTTCTCTCGAGAAAAATAGCAAAGCGGTGGGTGAACAAATTACTGTTGGGAAATTGATAGAACTCCAAATAATTATGACGATATCCAGGCAATGATCATTATATAGGCATCACGTCCAAGATTAGTAGACCAACTCCTGCATCTACTACTATTACTCCACACATCGACCGCTATCCAGCATGCATCTAGTGTATTAAGTTCATGGAGAAATAGAGTAATGCAATAAGAACGATGACATGATGTAGACAAGATCTATCTATGTAGAGATAGACCCCATTGTTTTATCCTTAGTAGCAATGATACATACGTGTCGTTTCCCTTTTTGTCACTGGGATCAAGCATCGTAAGATCGAACCCATTACAAAGCACCTCTTCCCATTGCAAGATAAATAGATTAAGTTGGCCAAACAAAACCCAAATATCGGAGAAGAAATACATGGCTATAAGCAATCATGCATAAAAGAGATCAAAGAAACTCAAATACTTTCATGGATATAAAAAGATAGATCTGATCATAAACTCAAAGTTCATCGATCCCAACAAACACACCGCAAAAGAGTTACATCATATGTGTCGGGGGTTGGGTGCGACATATGCCAATGGATGGCTTATCATGGTGGGAGCGAGTAGAACGTCGCCGGTGCCTGGAGGCGGGATGAGGCGTAGACACATACGCCGGCGAACTTTACCCAGGTTCGGGGCTCTCCAAGGAGATAACACCCCTAGTCTTGCTCTGCGGGGTCTCCGCATGATCACTAAGGCACAAGTGAGTACAATGGTGCTCCTCGAGCAGTATGCTAGAGATGGGAGAAGGCAAGGCTTGCTCTCTCATCTCCTAGGTATGAATCTAGTCCTAACAGGGTGCAAACCCTTTGCATGGGTGTCCTGGGGGGTTTATATAGGCCTACCCCCCAGGGGTACAATGGTAATCCGGCCGGGTGTAGGGCCCGGCTATCAGTCTCTCTGGTCGTCGGCCTCTCCCCCGACTGCGGGGCCCGCCACCTAGTCTGGTATAGAGCCGATAGGCCGCCTTCGCCGCTCGCGGGCCCTGCCGGCTACGGATTACTGTGACCGTGTTGCTAATGACGCATGCTTGGTCGGGGAGGTGTGGCTACAGTCCCGCCGCCTAGTGGGAGATCACTGTAGCCACTCCGCATCTTATCTGGTTAATGGTGCGTGGATCTCCGAGGAGGGACCGGGCCGGCTGTTGGGAGCCGGCCTCCCTCGGGTCTGACTGGCGTAGCTACCGCCGTCTTCCGGGCTCTCGCTGACCGGTAGGGCCCGCCGTCCTTGGGCCGTACCGACAGGCGGT